TTGTCTCATTGTTTTTCGTTTTTCTTTTTGTAAAGTTGACTCAGGCTACAACCCTCAAGTTCTAAATGGCTAGGTTTATTTTTTTTCACCATGTTTTCAAATCTTGTCCAATTTTTTATTTTTTTGAGTTGAAATGTTAAAAAGAAAACACTAACATAAATAAGTTAACAAAAAACAAAAATATCACCTAAATTAAATTACATCATTAAAAATATATAAAACCTCTAATATAAAGCCCCGGTTATAGAGCCTCTTATTGTGGGAGAGATGCCTTTAGAGCTCCAAAGATTCCATCGGAGCTCTAAAAGAGGTTCTATAAATAAATATTCAAGCCCAACATGTGAACACCACATATTGGGTATGTGTAAAGGCTCAATTCAGGCTCAGTCAATCAACTCGCTCTGATACCATGTTAAATTCAGAGAGACGGGTCAGTGACCCACTACTTACAACATCGATATTGTCCTCAACTTAACCACCTACAAAATCTAGTAGGTGTGAGGTTTTATCACAAAAGGCCTTGGTGATATTAGTAGTGGAACCATTCATTATATCTTGTATTTTATTTAGTCAAATTTCCGATGTATGACTTATATTCTTCAACACAAGAAAGATACATTCACTGTATACCTATTTAAAATACACTAGTTATTTATTTATTTTTTATATGTAATTCATGCACAAAGGTTGTCAACCACAAGAGCCAGTACCAAAAAAAAAAAAAATTTTTTTTTTTTTTTTTGGGTTTATCTATAAACTATGCTTTGATAACATAATATATGAGAGCATTCAACTCAAAACTAATCGGCGATGAATGGAAATGCGATATTGATGAATGTTGACTATTGAGTTCCTTTTATTGAACAACACAATATACTGGTCATCGATGAGATGTGAATCTAAGAACTCCTCTAACAAAGTAAAGACAATATGCCACTAGGGCTAGCAATGACTGAGCATTTCCAGCAAGGGGATCTAGGGGAGGGCAGGGGGGCAAGCCCAAAATGCTGTTTTCAGCAACAAAAAGTGGCCCGGGCAAGGAGTGGGACCCAGCAAACTGGGCTGGCCCGAGCGCCAACCCACGTTTTGGAGATGACGTCAGCCCTGGCGTTCAAATTTTTTTAACGTTGGCGCGTGCAACACACGCGCCAACGTTAAAAAAAATTTGACATGCCCGCTACAGTTCCCTAACGGCTAGCTTCCACATGGCGCGCGTTGGGCTCTCTGATCTGATGGTTTCCAGCAATCCAACGGCAGCCAATTTTTGTGCAATAAAAAATTGAAAAAAAATTGAATTTTTTTTTTAAAAATACAAACAAAATACTGAATTTGTTTTCTATAAATACCAACCAATACTCTGAAATTTATCTGAAATGTGAAACCAAAAATCGTATCCGATATGAATGGTATTGACAGGTAGGAACCCAAAAATCTTACTCGAAAATATTATCCAAAATAATTGTTTAAGTAAAAAAAGTTGTGAAAAAAAACAAATGGCAAAGGGCAATTGCTGGAAACACACATAGCTTAATATGGTAAGGGCAACCACTATTCATGTGAATAGTAGCTGCCCTAGCCCCCCCTTGCCATGGCAATGGGCAAACTGCTGGAAGTGCTCTAAGCATAATTAATGCCACAAAATCTGGTTATTAGGAATTTTGAGGGCAAACCTCAACAAGAGTACAAACACAAGGCATGCAATTTCCAACAAAACATAAGAAACAAAAGCCAAAGACCCCAAACAACTTACGCAAGAGGCAAATTTTGACATGCGTGGTGGGTGTGTTTCCCCTCCTTTGTGGTTATGATGGTGTGGTCTCTGTTCCATTTACAGTGACGATGACTTTATGTTGTATTTTGTTTTGATTTGTGACGGAAAAGATTATTATACTAGACTGTGCTGGTTCTAGTCTAATCTTCTTGCGTCTGTGGTGCTTTGTTCCTGTATTTGGTCTTTTCGACTCTTGTATTATCTGTTTGTTTCTCTCCTACTACTCAAAATTGATTAATTAAGAAAAAAAGAGAGGCAACAAAGCCAAACCAATCACTAAAACATCAGAACAGAACATAGTAATTGATGATTGATTTCATGGGAATGACTGATAAAATCTTTCCACATGCCAGTTGGTAAAAGTTACAACTAGCACCACAAAAAATATATACATATATTTTTGCCCAATCTTCAAAGAAATGAAGAGATTTTCTTTGAATTGGATAAAAAGCCAGTGGAAACACACTGACATTCATGTTTCATAGACGTATATGACAGCAACATGTCACCTAATTTTGTTAAGATAATTGAACACATTAGACTAATTTCAAAATTTTTAACAAAGACAAAATCTTTAGAATTGATGCCAAATGACGTATTTTCAATGACCACGTATATTTGGAAGCCACATGATCATCGAATCCGGATGAACCACAGCCGTTGGATACCGACCATAAAAAACCTATCATTTTCCTCCAGTCCTGACACGTGCAACTGACAAAATTTAATTTAAGGTGACAAAGGGCACCTACCCTTTATTTCATCTTAATTGTCACATGCTTTGCTGCCCCAAATCCAACTTTAGCTCAACTAGTGGGGCCCAAAAATGGACTACAAAAGTCACCTGGCTTATGGTTCACGGTCTCTGGTTCACTCCATCAAAATCTAATCTAATATTTTTATTTGGGGAATGCTAGCAACTTTTTCTCTAACCTTCTCCTTTGGACCTTCTCCTCTCTTTGCTTGACATGTGTAATTCTCTATACACTTAAAACAATGCCATTAATATATTATACAAGCTAACTTTTGCTTTCCAAGTTTACCCTTATTACATGTATTCAATTTATCCAAAAAAAATTCACTACTTTCTTACCATCTTATTAATATTTTTTTAACGTAAATTATTTTTTTTAAGAAAATATGTGCTTTTTTTCTTAAAAGAGGAAATGTTCCTTTATTTTATTTTATTTATAAAACACAAAGGGTTTAGATTTTTTTTTTTCAAAGTCTAAACTTGACGTTAAAAAAAAAGGGGACATTTCTGCTTTTTTTTATTTATTAAAAAACAGATATTTTCTTTATAAAAAAAAAAAAATAAGATGGTAAGAAAGTTGAGAATTTTTTTTGGATAAATTAAATACATGTAATAAGGGTAAACTTGGAAAACAAAAGTTAGTTTGTATAATATATTCATGGCATTGTTTTAAGTGTAGAGAGAATGACAAATGTCAAGCAAAGAGGGAAGAAGGTCCAAAGGAGAAGATTAGAGAGAAGGTTGCTAGCATTTCTCTTTTTATTTTTGGTTCGACAAAATGTAATCAAATCTGGAACTTTGTATAATAGTAGTAGTTAGAAGTTAGTGGTAGGCATAAAACAATGACCCACTATTCATGTGAATAGTAGCTGCCCTAGCCCCCCCTTGCCATGGCAATGGGCAAACTGCTGGAAGTGCTCTAAGCATAATTAATGCCACAAAATCTGGTTATTAGGAATTTTGAGGGCAAACCTCAACAAGAGTACAAACACAAGGCATGCAATTTCCAACAAAACATAAGAAACAAAAGCCAAAGACCCCAAACAACTTACGCAAGAGGCAAATTTTGACATGCGTGGTGGGTGTGTTTCCCCTCCTTTGTGGTTATGATGGTGTGGTCTCTGTTCCATTTACAGTGACGATGACTTTATGTTGTATTTTGTTTTGATTTGTGACGGAAAAGATTATTATACTAGACTGTGCTGGTTCTAGTCTAATCTTCTTGCGTCTGTGGTGCTTTGTTCCTGTATTTGGTCTTTTCGACTCTTGTATTATCTGTTTGTTTCTCTCCTACTACTCAAAATTGATTAATTAAGAAAAAAAGAGAGGCAACAAAGCCAAACCAATCACTAAAACATCAGAACAGAACATAGTAATTGATGATTGATTTCATGGGAATGACTGATAAAATCTTTCCACATGCCAGTTGGTAAAAGTTACAACTAGCACCACAAAAAATATATACATATATTTTTGCCCAATCTTCAAAGAAATGAAGAGATTTTCTTTGAATTGGATAAAAAGCCAGTGGAAACACACTGACATTCATGTTTCATAGACGTATATGACAGCAACATGTCACCTAATTTTGTTAAGATAATTGAACACATTAGACTAATTTCAAAATTTTTAACAAAGACAAAATCTTTAGAATTGATGCCAAATGACGTATTTTCAATGACCACGTATATTTGGAAGCCACATGATCATCGAATCCGGATGAACCACAGCCGTTGGATACCGACCATAAAAAACCTATCATTTTCCTCCAGTCCTGACACGTGCAACTGACAAAATTTAATTTAAGGTGACAAAGGGCACCTACCCTTTATTTCATCTTAATTGTCACATGCTTTGCTGCCCCAAATCCAACTTTAGCTCAACTAGTGGGGCCCAAAAATGGACTACAAAAGTCACCTGGCTTATGGTTCACGGTCTCTGGTTCACTCCATCAAAATCTAATCTAATATTTTTATTTGGGGAATGCTAGCAACTTTTTCTCTAACCTTCTCCTTTGGACCTTCTCCTCTCTTTGCTTGACATGTGTAATTCTCTATACACTTAAAACAATGCCATTAATATATTATACAAGCTAACTTTTGCTTTCCAAGTTTACCCTTATTACATGTATTCAATTTATCCAAAAAAAATTCACTACTTTCTTACCATCTTATTAATATTTTTTTAACGTAAATTATTTTTTTTAAGAAAATATGTGCTTTTTTTCTTAAAAGAGGAAATGTTCCTTTATTTTATTTTATTTATAAAACACAAAGGGTTTAGATTTTTTTTTTTCAAAGTCTAAACTTGACGTTAAAAAAAAAGGGGACATTTCTGCTTTTTTTTATTTATTAAAAAACAGATATTTTCTTTATAAAAAAAAAAAATAAGATGGTAAGAAAGTTGAGAATTTTTTTTGGATAAATTAAATACATGTAATAAGGGTAAACTTGGAAAACAAAAGTTAGTTTGTATAATATATTCATGGCATTGTTTTAAGTGTAGAGAGAATGACAAATGTCAAGCAAAGAGGGAAGAAGGTCCAAAGGAGAAGATTAGAGAGAAGGTTGCTAGCATTTCTCTTTTTATTTTTGGTTCGACAAAATGTAATCAAATCTGGAACTTTGTATAATAGTAGTAGTTAGAAGTTAGTGGTAGGCATAAAACAATGACCATTCCTTGTTTCATGTTCATTGGAATTTATCTGTCCGTCTCTTTCTTCACAACCTTAAATGCAGCTGATGCCATAACTCAATCCCAAAACCTTAGAGATGGCAAAACCTTGGTTTCCAAACATGGCAGCTTTCAGTTGGGTTTTTTCAGTCCAACAGCTGGTGACACCAAGAACCGCTTCTTGGGGATTTGGTGCAAGAATTCATCAGTCTCATCAGCCACAACTGTTACTTGGGTTGCAAATCAGCACAACCCCATCAATGGTTCATCAGGCGTTCTGATGATCAGCAGCTCCGGAAATGTTGTCCTTCTAAGTCAAAATAGCACTGTTGTTTGGTCAATAGCTTTGTCCAAGCAACCCCGGAATCCCATTTTGCAGCTCTTGGATTCTGGCAATCTTGTCCTAAGAGAAGCCGGAGATGAGAATTCAAGGAACTACTTGTGGCAAATCTTGCAGTGGGACGAAAAGTCCGGTCTTCACCGGAGTCTATTGGCTTCAAGTTCAAGGGACATCTGTGACAATTATGGCCGTTGTGGCCCCTATGGAATGTGTGACATTAGCAACCCAGAAGTTTGCAGCTGTTTAAAAGGGTTTCAACCCAAAGATCCTGGAAATTGGAACTATGCAGACAACTCAGGAGGTTGTGAGCGTATTACACCATTCGTGTGCCAAAATGGAGATGGGTTTATCAAATATGGTGGGGTGAAGCTGCCAGATACAACACATTCTTGGGTCAACCAAAGTATGAGCCTCAAAGAATGCAGGGCAAGTTGCTTGAACAACTGTTCTTGTACGGCTTATGCAATCTCTAATGTCAAAGGAGGCAGTAGCTGCACTATCTGGTTTGGTGATCTTATCAGCCTTAGGAAGCTTCCTGATGAAGGGCAGGATCTATATGTTCGAATGCCTGCTTCGGAATCAGGTGTGTGATTTAATCTTTTAATTTTATGTGTGCCATTTTAGTAATCATTTTTGTTTAGCCTAGGGCCTAAATAATTATCTGAACTTCTCTTGTTTTGCTATTTCTTGTATCAGTTGTTTTGTATTGCCTGATGAATCCATTAGCTGCTCTAAAAACTTTGATTATGTCCCCTGCTTTATAGTTCCCGTATTTTTAGTTGAAGCTGTGATATAACTCTAGTTGCTTTGCCCTTTTGAAATAACCTATGAAGACACAGACCGTCCTAAGACGAAGATAATAGTGATAGCTATAGCCGCAGTATCCATTGTTTCCGGGACGTTCTTAGCTGTCTATTGTATTCACAGAAGGAGGAGAAAGCTCAAAGGTAATATTCTTCTCTAAAACATATTCCCATTAGTCCATATCATCTTTTTGTTCCCAATCGGTACAGTAAAGAGACTCTGCCTACATTCTGCAATGGAATATCCCGAACAAGAGGTGCATGTCAAGTCAAAGTCACTGTCTCAGTTTAAAATATTGCATTGTGAGATAGAGCTTAAAAAGTCCTCAGGAATGCTATGAGATAGAGCTTAATTCAAGTCTGGAAGTTCCATTGCAATTGTAACTGAAGCTCTTGTTTAACACTAGAATGAATTCAACAAAAGTTGCAAAGTTAAAGGGAACATCTGTTGACGTGAGTATATTAATTTAATCTGCACTAAAACCAGAACAAGAATAAGACTTAAGGAAATAAAGAACATTGATGAAATCAAATGAGCAGCACAGGCCTTAGTATATATTTCATATTGATAGAGCCGAGAAAAATCATTTAACTACCAGTTGAGGAAGATGCTTGATGTAGGGTAAGAAGAAGGCAAAAGATTCACTGGATCTGTATTTTCATTAAGGGTCAATTGACATGTAATAAGTTTACATGTATCAAGTCAATTCCTTCAACGCTTTTCAATTTTATTTAAGAGTCTATTTCTGATTTATTGTACCTGATGAGAAGCTGATCTTCTTTGTTTTTATTCTTTGTGTTAGAGAAACTGCGGAAAGATGGAATGATGGGTCAGAACAATGAAGGACAGAAGGAAGACCTGGAGCTACCATCCTTTAGCTTGCCAACATTAATCACAGCCACTGATAACTTTTCGTTCAACATGAAGCTTGGAGAAGGTGGTTTTGGATCCGTGTACAAGGTAAATTTCTAATTTTGTGATCCTGTAAACATCGATGAAGCAGTTGTTTTGTTCAAAACTTTATAATGCTTTTCCTAAAGAGAATTTTCAGGGTAGACTAGTAGATGGGCAAGAGATTGCGGTGAAGAGGCTCTCCCAAAGTTCTAGGCAAGGAATCGCCGAATTCAAAAATGAAGTTATACTAATAGCCAAGCTTCAGCACCGAAATCTTGTAAAGCTTCTTGGCTACTGCATTCAGGGAGAAGAAAGATTGCTCATTTATGAATATATGCCCAACAAAAGCTTGGACTTCTACATTTTTGGTATGGATCCTTTGAAACTTACTAATATTGTTGGAATTAGATATTGCACTACAAACATCGTACTTTTGGTTCTAAGATGCTTGAATTTGTACTTCTGAGAATTCAAATTAGAGTGACATGAATTAAAACTTGCTAGATCAAACTCAAGGTAGACTGTTAGATTGGTCTCAACGCTTCCACATTATCTGTGGGATTGCTAGGGGTCTTCTCTATCTGCATCAAGATTCCAGACTGAGGATTATTCATAGAGATCTTAAAGCAAGCAATGTGTTACTTGATAAAGAGATGAACCCAAAAATCTCAGACTTTGGCATGGCTAGAATATTTGGAGGAGATCAGACAGAAGGAGTTACAAAGAAAGTTGTTGGAACCTAGTAAGTATCCTATGCATCTCTGCCTATTATCTAATATCTACTACTTTCTGAATCATTAAAGTTTTTGTTCCTTGTGACATACTGCAGTGGTTATATGGCACCAGAATACGCCATTGATGGTCAATTCTCCGTAAAATCCGATGTTTTTAGCTTTGGTGTTTTATTGTTGGAGACACTAAGTGGAAAGAGAAGTAGAGGGTTTTATGATCGAAATCAGAACCTCAACCTCATTGGACATGTAAGTATCAACTATTGAGTTTCTCATTTTACTTGTGTTTCATTTTGTGACTGTCAAACATGTTATATGTGCCTTTAGGCATGGCGATTATGGAAAGAGGGAAGGTCCTTAGAGATGATTGATAAATGCTTAAGTGATTCATGCACTCTCTCGGAAGTCTTGCGTTGCGTACATGTTAGTCTTTTATGTGTGCAACAGCTTCCTGAAGACAGGCCAACCATGTCAACTGTGGTTCTGATGTTAGGTGGTGAGAGCGCCTTGCCTCAACCCAAAAAGCCAGCTTTCTTTTTAGGAAAACATCCATCCTCTGAAGCAGGTTCTTCTTCAAGTAAGAACCAAACGTCTTCAATTTTCGGTGTGAGAAACGAAACATCTTCAACTAATGAATCTTCGATAACAGTATTGGAGCCTCGATAAGATTCGCTAATTGTACATCTAGTACCATGCTAATTTTGTTTGATCTGAAGGAACTATCTGATTTATACAAGGTATTATTCAATTCATATACTCATTTTGTACTCCATAAGTATAAACAAAGAATTTGAACTCAAAGTAACAATGTAACCTGATGTTCAAACAGGCAGCCTGATTTTTTGTTGACAGACAGGTTCAAGATAGAAAGATGGGAATTCAGGGCATGTTTGGTAGGCCTCACTGAATTGGACTGGATTAATTAGTACTTAAAACCCATGTTTGGTTAAAGGAGGGACTAACTTAAATGAGATTATATAGTCCAACAGTACAAAAAATGCCTCACTCGCTGGTCCAATCTAGCGAACCTGAAACTTGGTTCGCAAAATAATGAGCTTGCTAAACATAACACGCGAGTCCGAGCCAACGCCTCTCTCTCTCTCGTTTCCTTCAACATCGACTCTGCTCTTCTTCGAAGTTGTACTCAGGCAAGTTTTTTTATCTCCCCCTTTACATACCTCCCTTCACTCTGTCTGCAAAACCCTGTAGCTCTCCACTCTCATTCTCTTCCAATTCCCTTTCGTCTTTTAACTCGGAAAATGAAAACGGAGATGCCTTAGAAGATGCGTAGTTCGAGAGCAGCAGTGCGTCTTCTTCTCAAGGTAGTCTCTGAAAGATATGCTCTAAGGCCACACTTTGAACTGTGGCAGACGTATATTATTTATAGGAGCCAATTACAAGATGTGATAATTACACAGAGTCAGAATAGAAGTCTAACTCTATCGAGATAAGCAACAGAGATTTACAAGGAATTATTATGTGATAATGACAAATAATCTAAGTGTTTGTCTTCGACTGGGTTTCTCCTTCAGTCTCCAACAAGAGCAACGCTTGTTATCCATTTTACCGCATCATTCTGGTAATGGCCAAAGAAGAAGAAAGGGATCAATAAGATCCCAATTGTGTTTTGGGGGTTTTGGTGTTTTTTAATTTTAATTTTGTGGTGTGGTAATTGGTTTGTGAAAAGTTGTGGTGTGGGGCTAATTGGGTTTATTCTGTTGTTCTCTTTGGAAATTTGGAAAGAAAGACAGAGCGAGAAAGAGAGGAAGGCAGAGATGGGAAAGAAAGGCAGAGCGAGAGAGAGAGAGGAAGGAAGAGGAAAGAATGAGAGAATGAGTTTTTTTTTCTTTTGTAATTTTTTTTATATGTTTATAATTTTTATAAAATTTTTTTTTTCACACATCAGCCCCAATTAAATATCCCTAATTAAATTTAAATATTTTTTTAAGTCAAAATCCCTAATTAATTTTAAATATTACAAGAATTATTTTTTAGTCCGACATAGCACTAAACATAGGTCTTCACTATTTTTACAATCCAGCTTCTTAGTCCGACACAACACCAAACGTAGGTCAGTACTTAATCCAACTTAGGCCAATCCAAGCTAATCCAAAACAGTCACAGGACTCAGTCCAATCTATGACAGTCCCTCAGGGAACTATTTGTGACAGGGCTTTGACTATCCTTCTGATACATTTTTACCAGGAAATTGAATGAAGCTTGGCAGCTGGATCTTAAAAAGACAGGTCTTGACTCTTGACCAATTACTTCCTTGAGCTGTACACAAGAAATGTGGCAAACTCAGACTTGAAATGTCTTTGCTTTGCTTCAGTGCCAAGAATGCCATGACCATTATGGCCCTTTAGGTGCATTTGGAAATTGTATCATGGGCTTCTTCAAGCATGTACCCAAAAATTTCTTTTGTTTTGTTTTCTGTTTTGTTTTTTTTTTTTTTTGGTTTTAATTTGCCACAACGTAGTTTGTTTTGATTAGTATTTGATTTTATTCCCATGATGATTCCAATGCTTCATTACATTAAATAGAGGTCATGATGTATGTCATGTTATATAACAATCATAAACTCTTAAGACACAAGAAAAAATAATTATTTCCACTTTGTCAAGGTGTTTTCTATAATTTTTATAGCAGCAAAACTTTTTTTTGGTTGTTGCCAAAGTTAGGAAGGGGGGAGGGGAAAACTCACACACACACGGGTGGGAATTGAACTCAGAATCACCTAAAAGCACGCCAAAGACCTGACCAATCTAACTAACACCCAATTGATTAATAGCAACTCAACTTTACAAAGCTGAAGTTGCAGCATGCATAAATATTTGGTTGAAAACCCAGATAATATTTTTTTTTTAAAAATAAGAAAAGGAAACAAATAAAATTTAATAGTAAGGATTATAATATGGTAGACTATATAGTTGATATACTAAATAAAGAAATGAAAAATAAATATGAGATTAGTGGGATGACTAATCATAACACTTGATATTAAAGAGATGAAATTTAAAAATGATTAGTGGGTCAACCAAACCAAGCCACGTAATAAATCCAGATATTCCATGTCTTCATTTCATAAGAGGCAAATACAAGACTTGGTCAATTTCTTTGTAACATTCCAAATTTCAAAGCTTCAAAGCCTTCATTCTTTCATTCAATAACTTATCAAAATCACATTCCAATTCAAAAATCATTTTACATCTCTGCCCTAATTCCCAAATACACAACAGAAGCAGGCAGGCAGGCAGAGGCAGGGCACAAGTTGCAGCAGTAAAATAACAGAAATCAAATGAAATGAAGTGAGGAAGAAGACCAGAAAGCCCCAAATCCCTCTCCGAAAAAAGAAAAGAGCAGCCAGAAAATGGAGAATGGTCACGATTGGAAAATTGCTGAGAAATTCTCAGGTTTGACGATTGCAGGCGCTGACCCAATTCGTTCTTCAAACAACAGCACCAGCAATCAAGAAGGAAACTTGCTTCAGGTCATGAAAGCCATGGAAGCTGCAGAGGCCACAATCAAGCAACAGGTTGAAGAGAACATCCGATTGAGGACCCAGCTCGAACACAAGATGCTCGAGCTCCACAGATACAAGCTCCACGAATCCATGCCCACCCAAATGACGCCTTCTGTTGATCCGTGGGCCCAGCGCCTCCATGGATCTCATGATCAAGCTCATCAACCAGTTGCTCATGTCGACAATCAAATCGATAGGATTGCAAATCCCGCGCAGACTCATAGAGAATCAGAAACCCGAGAAACCCAATTGGGTAGCAGCGAGATCAATGGAGCCATGAAGGTCGTTCGAGTTTCTGGTAATCAGGCAGCTGCAGAAAACGCCAGCAGTGGCATCTCTCGGTTGTCTTCACCGTCCACAACGACGTCGCTTTCTCCGGGAAGGTCGAGCACCGAAGGGGAATATGATCCTCAGCGTGTCAATTTTTCTGGACATGGGTTGATGCCATTGAATGAAAGAAACAACCCCAGCAACAGCCTGTGGAAGAAGGATCTGGTTGTTAAGGTTCATGAACATGAACAAGAGATTATGCAATTGCGAAAGCATTTGGCGGATTATTCGATCAAAGAAGCACAAATTCGAAACGAAAAGTATGTGCTGGAGAAGCGCATTGCTTATATGCGTTTGGCATTTGATCAGCAGCAGCAGGACCTTGCTGATGCTGCATCAAAGGCTTTGTCTTACAGACAGGACATTATTGAGGAAAACATTCGGCTCGCTTATGCCGTGCAGGATGCACAGCAGGAGAGATCGACGTTTGTTTCCTCTTTGCTGCCAATTCTGGCTGAGTACTCATTGCAGCCTCCGGTTCCTGATGCACAGTCCATTGTTGGTAATGTCAAGGTTCTGTTTAGGCATTTGCAGGAGAAGTTGCTTCTTACTGAGTCCAAATTGAAGGAGTTGCAGTATCAGTTAACGCCTTGGCGATCAGATTCGAATCAGCAGCCTAATAACATTAGCATTGCTGCGCCTCCTTCACCACCACCTCAGTCCATTGGTGGTGGAGCATTGCTAAATGTGAGCAGAAATGGGCTTGAAATGGTTCCTCAGAATCAGCCAACATATTCTTCCAATGGTGGAAGAGTGCCAGCTTCTGCTTCTGATACTCAGACAACCGCGGATTGGGATCATCATCCTCAGAGTGGTTTCGGTGGTGGTGCCCCCAACAATGTGGAAACCAATGACTTGGGATTGGGGAGTTATTCACCTGTTCCAAGCAGGACATCAGCAGGCCAAGATCAAGATGTTCCTGTTAATCTTGCTGTTACTCAAGGTGATACACAGCGAGTAAATCATTATAGTGGAGGGACAAGCAATAGACAGGTCACCTTTCGTGATCCTGTTGGGAACACACAGAGAGAGATGGATGATCAATATGCAGAGGGAAACCAGAATGACAGAGAAACCTCATCCAATTGGAGTGCAGGGAACTCTCCTTACACATCCCCACTTAACGATTCCAGCTCCCCGTATCCTCATTATCTACCGCCGGTTCTCGAAGAGGGTGGTTCATCTTCATATTCAGAGGCTGCAGATGATGATCCATTACCAGCTATAGAGGGCCTCCAAATTTCGGGTGAAGCTTTTCCGGGGCATGAACTTCAAGTCAGCGGGTACTCTATCAATGGAACAACCAGTTGCAACTTTGAGTGGGTGCGCCACATGCAAGATGGATCTGTCAATTACATTGATGGAGCAAAGCAACCAAACTATCTTGTAACTGCTGATGATGTCGATACATACCTTGCTATCGAAGTCCAGCCTCTGGATAACAGGAAGCGCAAGGGAGAGCTTGTAAAGGTGTTTGCCAATGAGCACAAGAAGATCACTTGTGATGCTGAAATGCAAGGCCAGATAGAGAAGATTCTTTCTAAGGGTCAGGCTTCATTTAAAATATTTCAGTTCGCTGGATATCTTGACATTTGGGAACCTGCTACATTGGCCATTAAGAGGGGAGCTTACAGCATTAAGGGCAGTGGAGGACCTAGTGGAAGTGGTGGTGTAGTTACAGAGAAGTTTTCGCCGAACACATTTGTCACAATTCCTTATGGAGGTCCTGCAGAATTCATAATAGTTAGCGGCTCGGATGGTGGTGGTGGTGGTAATGAGTATCTCTTAAGAGCAGACAATGAAAGCTGTTCTAGAGATACAGTTGTGCTCACATTAAGATTATTTATCCATAGGGCTGATGTGAGAAAAAACTCGAGGAGAGGGAAAAAGATGTTATTTTTTTAACAAGTAGCTGTTCCTGTTAGGCTCAGCATTCAGCAAGACTCTCTGTTGTTATTTGTTTTAGAGTCTGGGTGTCCATTACATATTTGGGGTGTTGGGTGTGCAGTTGAAATCTCAATTTGAGTAGCGTTGTGAGAAATTTTTGACTGAAATTGATGGCCTCATCTTTGCTCATTATTCTTTGTGGATGCCAATGACAAGCTCTGAGAAACCCACCATTGAAGGCCCAATGTTCTGTTTAATGGTCCCAAAATTTAAACATGATCCATTCCTGCCAAAAGAATTTAAAAAATCCAAAGCATCTAGTATTAGTACTTTTTTGACCATGCATGCAGAAACTTCAAAATATTCAAGCCTGCATTAGACCATCATCATCCTGGAAGTTAATTTTGGTGTAACAGTATCACATATACAATCACTGGCCACTTATCTTTTCCCTACTTTTACTCTAGTAGCTACAAGTTTTCCAATGTTCATTGAAAAACTATTTCAATTTTTATATAATCTGACTGTTTCTGTGGGAAAATTGCATGCCAACACAGCTATGAATAATACCTCGAATAAATTACATGGTGCAAGATTTGCAATTAATTGCATCTCATCGAGCCTCAGGCAACGTTATGATAGAGTCGTAGGTTGAAGATGGTTCGTTCTTACTTGAAGATGTTAAGTTCTTACTTGAAGAAGAATCTGCTTCAGACGAATATTTTCCACCAAAGAAACCTGGTTTTTTGGGTTGAGGCAAGGGACACTCATCACCAAACATCAGAATCACGGATGACATGGTTGGCCTGTCTACAGGAAGCTGTTGCACACATAAAAGACTAACATGTATGCAACGCAAGAGTTCGGATAGAGTGCATGAGTCCCTTAAGCTTTCATCAATCAACTCTAAAGACCTCCCTCCTTTCCACAATCTCCATGCCTAAGGCACGTAATATGTTTGTTAGTCACAAGATCAAACACACGTATATGAGGTCTTTGATGGAGACTAC